CTTCTCAGAAGAGGATGTTCAATCAGTAAACAAATATATGAAAAAATGTTCATCATCTCTAGCAATTAGAGAAATGCAAATCAAAACTACTCTAAGATACCATCTCACTCCAGTCAGAATGGCAACTATTATGAAGACAAACAACAATAAGTGTTGGCGAGGATGTAGGGGAAAAGGCACACTCATATATTACTGGTGGGACTGCAAATTGGTGCAGCCAATATGGAACGCAGTATGGAGAGTCCTTGGAAAACTTGGAATAGAACCACCATTTGACCCAGCTATCCCTCTCCTCGGTCAGTACCCAAAGGACTTAAAAACAGCATACTACAGGGACACATTCACATCAATGTTTATAGCAGCACAATTCACAATAACTAAACTGTGGAACCAACCTAGATGCCCTTCAGTAGATGAATGGATTTTAAAAATGTGGCATATATACACAATGGAATATTGCTTAGCAATAAAAGAGAATAAAATCATAGCATTTGCAGGTAAATGGATGGCATTGGAGAAGATAATGCTAAGTGAAGTTAGCCAATCCCCCCCCCCAAAAAAAAACAAATACTGAATGTTTTCTCTGATATAAGGTGACTGACTCATAGTGGGGTAGGGAGAGGGAGCATTGAAGGAATAGACGAATTCTAGATAGGGCAGTGGGGGGAAGGGAAGGGGCAGGGGATTAGCAATGATGGAATGTGGAATGTGATGGACTTCATTATCCAAAGTACATGTAGGAAGACATGAGTTGGTGTGAACATACTTTATATACAAACACATATATGAAACATTGTGTTCTATATGTGTAATAAGAATTGTGATGCATTCTGCTGTCATGTATTTAAAAAAATAAAAGCAATTAAAATTTTTAAAAACTCAAGAATCTATAAATCTATAGCCTAAAATGATTGGCCACCAATGACTTACACATACCAGTCACTGTTCACAGTTGATGCTGTATTTATTTTCATCTTAGACCTAGCTATATGTTTTTTGGAAGTTCTGTGTTACATATGTATTTTAACAAGGAAAAGTAATTAAATTATGCTTTAATTTGAATAATTTCTTAACATGAACTGTTGTTTTGTCTCACTGAGAATTTTCAACTGGAAATATTACACAAACTGCATATATTACATAAACTTGTGAATAACTAGGAAATAATCCTTATGTGCTATGACATTCTTAAATGTATAGGCAAATATTAAAATTCTTTTGATGCCTAACATTAAAAGGAGTTAAAAGGGAAAAAAAAGAAACTGTGGTGTGTGTGTATATATATATATATATATGTATATACACACACACACACACACACACAATGGAATATTACTCAGTCTTAAAGAAGAATGAAATTATGGCATTTGCAGGTAAATGGACTGAGCTGGAGAATATCATGCTAAGTGAAATAAGCCAATCCCCAAAAACCAAAGGCCAAATGTTTCCTCTGATTTGAGGATGTTGATACATATTGGGGGTGTGTGGCTAGGTAGGGAAGAATGGAGGAACTTGGAATTGAACAGAGGAGAGTGAGGAGAGGGGAGGGGAGGGGGTATGAGGGTGGAAAGAATGGTGGAATGAGATGAAGATGATTACCCTGTGTACATGTACAAGTGCATGAATGGTGTATCTCTGCATCATGTACAGTCATAAATGAGAAGTTGTGCTCCATTTGTGTACAGTGAGTTGAAATGCTTTCTACTAACATGTATAACTAATTAGAACAATAAAAAATTTAAAAAGAGCTCTATCATTAAGCTATATACCTATTCATAACATACTGTTCTTAAATTAGGGTATAAGGTGATATACCAAGGCAAAGCCATATCTCCGTAAAGCATCTAACCTAGTTTAAACTCACAAATTAAGGCCACAAATCTTAACAGGACCCACAAGGCCTTTCATGATTTTTCCTCTACTTTCCTAACCAGACTCAGCTCATGCTACAGCTCCCTTGTGTTAGTACAATTACAATGGCTTTCTCAAACTGAACTTGAATACTTTATTTTGTTATCAGCTCTTTCATACAGTGTTACCTCTGCTGTACCATGGATCCATTACCTCCCAGTTTCTATCTTTTGCTGAGCTAAGTCCCAGAATAAAGTTTAGACATCATGGATCTCTACCCCACTTCATTTGGTAATGTCACTGTAGACTCCCTCTTCTAGGAATGATTATTTTGTTATATTCCCTTATCAACACTGTGTATCTTGATGATGTATTATGTTAATTCATAAGTATTCCCAGACTTTTACCTCCATCTTTTTTTTAAAACAAACCACAGCATTCACCTATTATTTCCCCAAAAGTCTTCATCCAAATTACAGTTTTTGTTTTGTTTTGTTTTGCAGTGCTAAGAATCAAACCCAGCTTTGTGCACACTGGACAAGTGCTCTATCCCCGACATATGCCCCCGGCTCCCAGAATTCTTTTAATTAACAAGCTTTTATCTAATAACATTTTGTTCTTTAAATTAGAGAAACTTCTTTATAAGGGACAGTAGTCATATAATTCACAATTACATAAACTCTGTATTCATAGCAACATAATACATACTGTAAAATCAATCCGTCAACCAGAATCTCTCTCTCCATCACTGCTGTTTTATATTGTGTGTGTACATTCATGCTTTAGTAGATAAGGGAAAGGGTATAGTAACAAAAGTCTCTAGAACAAAAATATGGTTGAAAAGTACTGAAATCATTATGAAGAATTTTCAGAAACATTTTAATTAAGGTTTGTGAAAATTATGTCATTTTTAATAAGGGAAGCATAAAAAGTAAAAACTATCAAATAGTACCTTGGACATTCTTCTTAAAAGAAATCATGCTCTACCATAAATTGTTCTCTATATAGCTACAGAGTGGATGGATAGATGTAAGCAAAGAGAAATAAGGTGCATGGATTTAATTATAACTTGAAGGAGTGTCTAGGAAAGATAGAGACAGTTATGTGAGTCTGTGCTTAGGAAGAGGACCTGGCAAGTTATAAGGTCTAGGCAAAAGTGATTTTTAACCAGGAAAAATTTTTTAAAGTATAGAATCTTTAAACATTACAATATCTGGTCTATCTTAGGGCTCTTTTTCTGTTTCTCTTTTTAATATTTATTGGTTAGGGCAATCACTAACTGCTATAATTTACATGTCCCAGCTGTATAATGGCAGAGGTTTAACTGAAGATTAATTCTTGCACTTGTAACAGCCTGAAGTCAATGAGTGACTTTCTTTTCCTAGGCAACTCAAAGACCTAGGCTCCTTTCATTGTGTTATGCTTTATCAGTCCCTAGGATTCATTGTCATATCTATATTTTGCCAGCAGGACAGGCAAAAGTGTTTAAAGAGGGTATGTCTGCTTTCTAAAAAAGCATGGCTTTGAAATGGTTCACATGATTTCCTTTCACATCTCATGGTGGCTAGACTAACTGCAAAGGAACCTGAGAAATTCAGTCTAGGAAGATGGAGAAATGAATTTTTGGTAAATTGCTGGCATTCTGTGTCACATACACTGGTTTTTCTTTGTTTTGTTTTGGTTCCCTTTTTGCACTTAAGGGGCTGATTTTTATCTCTTTCTTTATATGGTTAACACCATGTTAAAATCCAAACTCCTTTGCAACATATCAGATCTGTAACAGGTTTCCCTCAATTTATCTCTTTAATCCCATCATTTTCTACTTTGCCAGTTTATATTTATATCTACATTACATTACCCACTATTCTTCAAATATGCCACACACTTGAATACTTCCAAACTTCAGCTCATGCTGTATCTTCTTCCTAGAAAACTTCTCTCAGACTTTGCCAGTTCCTCAGGTTTTATGCTCATATTAGGTTTCACCCTTCCTTGGCTCCTTCCTGCCTTATTCTTTATTCTTTATAACCCTTCTTTCAATTTCTTCACAAATTCCCTTTGAACAGTTATCACCTTTTATCATAATAACTTCGTATCTATCTTTCATAGAAGCTAAGTTTGAATCCTTAATGCTAAAACAAAGTAAGTACTCAGCATTAGTAAAGAAATTTGAGTTTGATTGTTTTAAATTGTCCATTTAGAAACTTTAAAAACTGAGAAACAGTTCTATTTCTAAAATTGTCTAGATGGAGCATATCAGATATGTGATGCAAAATTTATAAGAAGAAAAGTTCCTGGCACCAATTAGAACTATCATTTACCCTTTTTCTCTCTCTGCCTCCCATCCTCTTCACCAGTTCTAAAAACTTTGGAAATTAGAAGGGATAAACTATTTGTTTTTAAGGCTGTTACCAATACCTGGGTTATTTTTGAAACTTGTTTATAAGGCATCATTGAAGAAAAAGTTAAACTTCACTGGTTGATATGATCCCTAAGGGAGGAATTTGTGTTCTATTAAAAAAGTGAAAGCTTGAAGTAAAAATAACTAATGATGGCCATATAAAGATATATATTCAAAAATATTGCTGAAGTAACATTCTTTTCATATTTTTTATTTATTTCCTGAATGTAATTTTATATATTTGGCTCATTATAAAAATGTATTTGAAAATTATAGTGTTTATAGCTAAGTTTTTTTATGAACTCAGTATTTACAAAGAACTTTTATCATAAAAATCCTGTTTCCTTTATTGTATGGCTCCAGATTTAGTAGGAATCTCTAAACAATGTACAGATAATTTATGAACTGAAATTCAGTCCCTCTTCCTTTCTCTCTCTCTCTCTCTTTTCCTCTCTCCCTGTCTTCTTCTCCCTCCCTCTTCCTCTTCCCCACCCTCCCTTCTAAAGATTAAACCCAGGGCTTCATGTTTGCTATGCAAGTGCTCTATCACTGAACCACAACCCAGCCCCATTTTTCTCTACTTCTGACATATAGTTATTGTCCCCAAAATAATTATTCCTGAACTAATAGTATTTATTTACATTTATTTTATAGTTTATAAACATTTGGTACAGCCTTATGGTCATTTTTGAAAACAGAATTTTGCTGTGACATTGTTCACATGGTCTCATTTTTTTCTTTTTAACAGAGATATGACGGAAGTTGTACATATTAAAGATAGGAAGGAAGCAATTCATGAGTTAAAATATTCACCAGATGGAACTTACCTTGCTGTTGGCTGCAATGACAGCTCAGTTGATATTTATGGAGTTGCTCAGCGTTATAAAAAAGTTGGTGAATGTGTTGGATCACTTAGTTTCATCACTCATCTGGACTGGTCCTCAGATAGTAGATATTTACAGACAAATGATGGAAATGGGAAAAGACTTTTTTATAGGATGCCAGGTAAATTTTTCTAGTAAAACATATATATTTTGTAGATTTTTAGTGTCTATAAAATATTTTAGAATTTCACAAGAAGTAGCAAATAAGTTTCATTTGAGCATAGGAAATCAAGGATGAACTGAGCTAACATTTCAAGCATTTCTTTTCTATGGGGCTACCACATTATGTTGAAATTCTCTAGGATTCCCCCCTGAGGATTATTGAGATACAATTGACATATAAAAGTTGTATATATTTACAATGTACAGTGTGATGTCCTTATGTACATATGCTGTACATTGTGAAATGTTTTCCACAATAAAGATAATTAATATATTCATCACTTCACAGAGTTACCATTTTTTGTTTGTGGTAAGAGCATTTAATACCATATCTGTTGGCAGATTTAAAGTATACTGTGCAATAATATATTATTAATTGTAATCAACATGCTATACGTTAAATCTGCAGAATTTATTCATCCTGTATAACTGAAACTTTGTACTCTTTGCCAAGATCTCCCCATCCCCACCACTTCTCCCAGTCCCTAGAAACCACCATTCTGTATTCTTTTGTTTCTTAATTAAACCTCCTTTACTTGAAGAATTGAAGACAGACTTATATTAAATTTCACACCATGTGACCAGTATATGGTAAAATTCCACTGTGTATTAGAGTCAAATGTCATCTTTTGGGTGAAACTAAGTAAATATAATTGCTACAAATGTGTAACCATAAATTATTTATCTGTTTGTGGTTGCCTCAAATAAATTTTGCAAATACTAATAATCTAGCTAACAAACTAAATCAAAGATTTAAAAATAGAAGAATAAAAACAATCATTAAAATATTAACCTTGTAGTACTTTAGTTAATATGATGTTTAATTAGTCCCTATCTTCCAAGAACTTATTAAATAAGATGAGCCACATAAATTACTGTTTTTCTGCAAAAGTTTTTCATTAGTGATCTATATGTAATGAAAATTTACTGAGTTCTAAAATTCTTTTACCAGATGTAAATGTATTACTCTCCACCAATCCTACCTTTTTTGGTATTTTTTAGTTCTCTTTGTAAGTTATGTGTCTTAGGTTTCTCATAGCCACTTTCTCATAGCTTTTACTTCTCTTATAACTCACCCTGTTGTGGTTAATCTGTGTCATTATTTTAATAGGATTCGCATAGTGAACCTGCTAAGCCATAAATCATATTAAATCTATGTATGTCTCTGAATTGGTATAATTCCATTGGTGGCTTCTTTAAAAAGCTTCTTGCATTTTGTTTTCTCCTTAACCACACTTACTTTTTCCCATAGTCTCCTCTAATTGGGGTGGGAAATATTTAAAATTTGAGATCACCATGTTATCAGTAAAATTTAAGCTTGAGTAAAAAAATAAGTGAAATAACTTCTTAAATTCAGACTGATTTATTTTTAGGGGGAAAAGAAGTGACAAGTAAAGAAGAACTCAAAGGTGTTCATTGGGCTTCATGGACATGTGTTTCAGGCCTTGAAGTAAATGGAATTTGGCCCAAATATTCAGATATCAATGATATAAATTCAGTAGATGGAAATTATATTGGCCAAGTTTTAGTTACAGCTGATGACTATGGAATTATAAAATTATTCCGATATCCATGTTTAAGAAAAGGTATCTCTTCTTTTAAATATTTTAAGTAAGCTCTTATAAAAGACTTATGTTCTTGCAGAAAATCAATCTTGAAATAGGTAACAGGATTTCATATTTTTAAAAATGTATACTGCTTGGTAAAGGCCTTTATTTTGCAAGTTCTGTATTATTGTCATATGTTACATTTATTTTTGGTCATGAAGTTTTTATTATGAAATTATTTTGAATTTATACATTATAACAAATGGACTAGACCTGTTTCTTCTTTTTTTTAGTAACTTTATTTATTTATTTACTTTTTAATGTGGTGCTAAGGATCAAACCCAGTGCCTCACATATGCTAGGCAAGTACTCTACCACTGAGCCACAACCTCATTCCCAAGACCTGTTTTTTTTTTTTTTTAAATTTTTTTCTCCCACTTCCTGAATTGTTTCATGTAGTTAAATTGCAATGATGGTTATACTTTTCTTATCACTTATTATCTTTAATAATTTAGCTTATTGTATACATATATTTTGGGAGAAATTTTATTTTATTTTCTCAAGAATAAGGAAGTAGTCAAGTGTATAAACTCAGAACTTACTAACTTGTTGGTTTTGATGAATGAGCATGTTTTGCTTCAGTCTTTAGCATTTTTTGTTTTGACATTGATTTTCAATAATAGATGTAAAAAATGATTTTTTATTTGTTGTTTCCTCTATACTTTATGTATCCTTTTTTATTGGATGTCTTCTAAAATGATATCAATCATTCTATTTACAGATCTGGGGATCATTGAATGAAATGCTATATTAGTAATCTTTCATCTGTTCCATGCATTGTTTCATAAAGTTTTTAAATCAATTTATAACAAGTCTATTAATACTGAAATAATTAAAGAATCAGTACCAGAGGAAATATAAATAGAAGTACACATTAAAACAAGATAAAGAAAATGAATTTGATTTGATTTGAATCAAATCAAATTTGATTCTGAGCTTCCTGTAAACAAAAATAAAATGAATCAGGGCACAAAATAGTTTTCATTGTGGATTTTTTAAAAATTCATTCTTATTCCTTAGGAAAATCCAAGTTTCTTCTGAGCTTTAATTGTCAAAGAATTCTTTTCTATGCATGGATCTTTATATTAGGTGCAGTTAATGTTCTAGAACATCCATACTTATAGTAGATGCTATAATGAGATTTACTTGTCTTGTTGATAAAAGCTATTGGACAAACATTAGAATGCAGATTATTGGAACAGCTAATATAGTTTGATCAGATATGTAGTCCACTGATATCAAACTTAAAGGCTCAAATTTCTCAGAAGCCGAGGCTGGTATTTCTACTGGGGGCCTCTGTAGTGAAGTAATGAGTTCAAGATCCTGTCTCCTTTGCCATGTTATTGATTCTGCCTGTGTGATGTCAGCTTCTCAGATGCATACAAATTCTTCCATATGTAACTCTAAGTATATTAATAAAGACTAGCTAAATATCTAGCAATTAAAATACCCTGTTTCAGGCTGGGGTTGTAGCACAGTGGTAAATTGCTTGCTTGCCTAGTAAGAGTGAGGCACTGGGTTCGATCCTCAGCACCACATAAAAATAAATAAAATAAAGGTCCAACAATAGCTAAAATAAATAAATAAATAAATAAAGTACCCTGTTTCTAGATCCCACCACATAGCCAGGACATGAAAGTCACCATGCCTGACAACTCTTAAGATGATACTTGTCTGCTTGTGGAGCTTCAGTAATAATTATGTAATATTTAACATTAGACATTGCTCCCATTAATTGCTTCACATACACTGACCTCCATGTAAAACAAAATACTATAATTTTCTGAGTTTTTTAAGTCAATTGAATGGGCTTCATTGACAATTTATCTTTTGCAAATGTGAAGACAGTATTATTTTTGCTTAATAATTTTACTTCATTTATATAATGAAATGAAATATGTAGTAGTCTTCTGAATTACTATGTGAATATTTAACCAAAGTCTAATAAAATTAGTTTTGTGTAAGAGATTTCTCCTTGCTTCAAGAACATATATTGTTTTTCTTTGTTTCCTTTTTTTAAAAAATGTTTTATCTATATGGGGTTCTGAGAATCAAACCCAGTGCCTCTCACATGTAGGCAAGCACTCTGCCACTGAGCCACAACCCCAGCTCTCTTGTTTCCTTTTTGTTAGTAATTTATTTTATGGTAAGGATGATTTTTATTTCTAGGCACTTGTGTGTCAGCTTGAGACTATAGCTAGGTAAGTGAAAGAAAAGATAGGATATTACTATTGCATATTTAAATAATTAGTAGAGGTATTTTAAGATTCTATGTTTATTGAATTCACATACTTGAATACTTTAGCATTATTACTAGAAAAAATCTCTTTTATATTGTTATATTGTCCAATTTAAGATTAGAAAAAGGTTGTATCTGATTTGATAATACATTTTATTTCAATTCAGTAATGAGGAGTGAACCCAGGGGTGCTTTACCACTGAGCCACGTCTCCAGTACTTTTTAGTTTTTGTTTTGAAACAAAATTTTTTATTTAAATATTTATTTTTTAGTTGTAGTCGGACTCAATATCTTTATTTTTATGTGGTGCTGAGATTTTGCTAAGTTGCTGATGGTCTTGCTGTATTACTGAGACTGTCCTCAAACTTGCAATCTTCCTGCCTCAGCTTCCTAAATCACTGGGATTGCAAGCATGTGCCACTGTGCCCAATTTAGTAGTAATATCTTTTGGACTGAGAAAGAAAAAGGGTAGATGATAAATCAGATTGGTCCTTCACTTAAGACCGAAGGCCTCAGGACAAAATAGTCAGCTGTCCTAATATTAAAACAATTGATCCTGGGCTGGGGTTATAGCTCAGCTTTTGTAGAGCGTTTGCCTTGCACTTGGGAGGTACTGAGCACGATTCTCAGCACCACATAAAAAATAAATAAATAGATAGATGAAGAAATAAATATATTGTGTTCATTTAAAGCAAAAACAATTGATCCCCAGCTTTTCTAAAAGCAGTAAGATAATGCCTCACAGCTTTTGTAGTTTCTACCAAATTATACTGTGAAGTAGTAGAGGAAATAATGTTTACATCTCTCGATATCAATACATTTATTTGTTCATCCTACCCATTTTTGAATTAGCATTTTTTCCATTTAATCATAATTAAGACAATGGAAGGATGATGCAATGATTTATGTATAGAAGTTTGCTATTTGCAGTAGTGTTTTGTATGTTGAAATTTGTGCATAATTTAAAGATATATTTTCATTATAGGGGCCAAGTTTAAAAAATACATTGGCCATTCAGCTCATGTAACTAATGTCAGATGGTCACATGATTATCAGTGGGTTATTTCTATTGGTGGAGCAGATCACTCTGTCTTTCAGTGGAAATTTATTCCTGAAAGAAAACTAAAAGATGCTCTTCACATAGCACCCCAAGGTGAGTAGTATGAATCACCTAAACAATTTCCCCATGAAATAACTCTTCAAAAACTTGAAGATGACAATTTTACCATTGAAGTATAATCTAGTTTCATAAATTCATAGTATAGTTTGTTATTAGCAGAAATTTTGAATTAAACCTTAGATCTATATTAAGTCAGATATCAAAGAATGGGATATAAAGTACTTTTGTTTGCAGTTTGTCAAATGATGAGTAAAGAAATGGTTATGTTAATAAAATCAGAGATGGGTGTTTAGATTTTATGTATGCTTTTTAACAAAGAGAATATATATATATAATGTCAATTCTTTTGCTATGTGCAGTATTTTTTAGCTATTTTCATGGAAACTATAGGTTATATGCACTTATATTTGCACAGACATTTAAATTTGATGTAGCAGTCATTGGGGGAGCCAGTGAAGGGATTTAAAGGAGCTATTGAGTTTGCAATGAGTGGAGAGGAAGATAATCTGTAGTACAGTTTACTCACATCTGTGTCACTTGAATAGGTAATTTCATTTGATTGCTCTATGGCTTGTCTCCATGTCAATTGACCTAGCTCTTAATCATTAATCTTACATTGCTATTTTGAAAATAAATCTTTGAACAAATGACATTTCATTTTCAAAAATTACAGAAAGTCTGGCTGACTCTAACAGTGATGAATCAGATTCAGACCTGTCTGATGTTCCAGAACTGGATTCCGAAATTGAACAAGAGACACAGCTCACCTATCGTCGGCAGGTAATTTTCTATTCAAGCAATTTTTTCCCCTGGAAACTTCAGTTCTGTCTTTATCATGCTCCATGCTGTGTATCTGTTATCTTTTGTGGCTTAAATTCTCTAGTAGTGTATGACTCTTTCAGTTTTCTCACTTTAAACATTAAAGCACACTTGTATAAACTGTTCTTTTATGTTAAATGCTTGATATACTAAGTATGCCTGTATTCTCTTAGCCTAAGATTTTTGAAACAGTACACTCCCAGTTATTCCTTTTGAAATATTCTCTTAAGTATAAAGATTTCCTGGAACACTAAATATGTGAGTTTGTTCTTTCTAAAGAAGTACATTTTGTAAAAGTACCTTCCTATTGAAGACAATTGCTAAAGTTGATTAAGAGTAACCATATGTCTAAAAGTTATGTTAGGGGTATGAGCACCTTTATGAATGTCTTCCTACTTATATACATTTTTAAAGGTTTACAAAGAAGAGCTACCTCAGCTTAAAGAACAATGCAAAGAAAAACAAAAAAGTGCTACTTCTAAAAGAAGAGAACAGGCTCCAGGAAATAGTATCCGATTACACTTTGTTCATGGGTATGAAACAATTGTTTTTCATTTCTGTGTTTGAATTTTAGTTCACACTTATTGTGTAACTTGCTCCAAGTCACACAATTGACTAGCTCTACTAACTGTGTGCCTTTAAACAAGTTACTTAACCTCTCTGTAAAATGGAGATAACAATACCTCCTAAAGTTCTGATTAGGAGCAAATAAAGCTGTGATATTGTTGACTTAGAATAGTGCCTGAAACATAATAAGCACTGAATAAGTGTTAAAAATAAATATTAAAAAGTTATTAAAAATAAATTTGTCTTATGGAAGTTCAGTATTATTAAATTGGACATCTTGTCTTTAAAAATATGAGATAATCATCTTCCTTAAATGTGACTAATTTAAAATAATATTGTCTTTCTTTTTGACTGAGCATTTTGGCTTTTGTGTGTTAATTTCAATAAAATATTAGAATTTCTGGATTCTCTTAGAATATCTGGCAATACAAGTTTCATATGTCAGCTTGTCAGCAACAGGTTTTCCAGTCTGATTCTATTTACCCCTATCGCAGCCCTCATTTTCTTATCAGACTGATAATACTTTCCAAGAATTTGAGAAAGGATTTATTTATTAAGATTATTTTCTCTCCACTGGTAAAACAGGCAATATTTCTATTCAGTTGTGCTTTATAAATTGGGTTTCTTTGAAGCACAAAGCAAGGTTGCTACAGACAGAATTATATTGACATTTTAAGATTTGGTTATTGGTTGGGGACATGGCTTAAGTGGTAGCATGGTCGCCTGGCATGCGTGAGGCACTGGGTTCGGTCCTCAGCACCACATAAAAGTAAAGACAATATCTTTTTATATATTTACTTATTGGTGGACACAGTTGCCCACCTAAAAAATAAATAATATTTTAAAAAAGATTTGGTTACTTTTTCCTGAGCATAATATTTTAAAATTGCTTTTTTTAAAAAAAAATTTTTAGTTGTTGATAGTTCCTTATTTATTTACATGTGCTGCTGAGAATCAAACCCAGTGCCTCACTCACCAGGTAAGTGTGCTACTGCTGAGCCACAGCCACTTAAAATTGTTTTTTAAATTTCTTTTTGAAATATATGTTTTCACAGTTCAACATTATGCATAAAAGGGGTTTAAAACCTTCCTCTCACTTCTGCCTTCCCAACCATCATTTCCCTTCAGGCAATCACTGTTACTTAGTTTGATAAATAAAAATGCATTTATAAACAGATATGTATTATTTTCTATACCCTTTTATTTATTAAAAAAGTAACTGTTTTTGTCTTTATAAATTTAATATTATACACGTGCAATTAATAGTATACTAGATATATTTTTCAGCACCTTGCTGTTTTTTGCTCAGTATTATGGTTTGGATTAGCTATTTGTAATCAGAGCAGTTCATAAATGCTTATAGCTCTAAGAAGGTGGTGTTTTCTTTTAATTGTTCAGCATTCTTTAAAACTGGAAATTAAATGACCCTAAAATTACCTATTTCTAAAATTACCTATTAGATCAAAGACCAAAACTAATTGTATGATTTGTTTTCTATATTAGTTACAGAGGTTACGACTGTCGAAGTAATCTGTTTTATACTCAAATTGGTGAAATTGTGTACCATGTGGCAGCAGTGGGTGTCATTTACAATAGACAACAGAACACACAGCGTTTTTACTTGGGTCATGATGATGATATTCTTTGTCTGGCTATTCATCCTTTGAAAGACTATGTGGCTACAGGCCAGGTAAGGTCCTTTGAAAGATTATGTGACCAAAAGCCTGATAGGTTAGACCTTTTCTGAGTTAGGTTAGTCTACTTCATTCATGTGTGTATACACACACACACACACACACACACACGAGAGAGAGAGAGAGAGAGAGAGAGAGAGAGAGAGAGAGAGGGAGTTTTTTTTCTAGGAAATGGAGAGTAAAGAATTGTTTTGAATGGGATTTTATTTTCCTATTATGAAGTTTACCTCAACTTTTTCCCTACAGTTGTCCTTATAGTATAGTTGTTTTAATTATTATTATCTTAAGGGATGAGGAAGTAGGTAGAGTGATGATCTAGCACTTGTGATGCCCTGAGTTCAATCGCCAGTCCTGAAAAAAATTTTTTTGATTATTATTTCTTGAATTTTAATTTGGAACTAAGAACACTGCCTGATTTTCTTTCTGTCAGGATATGTATATTTTTAAATTTGTGAGTAGTTATAGAAAAGATGGAAGACTAGAAATTGGTTTCTTTAGATTGAGTTACTTAAAATAATAAAATACTTAACAAACATTCGGTTACAACACAGAATGACAGTGCTTTATATTTTGCAATCATGATAGCAAGCTATTCAAGTTTACCAAGATAGAAAGCACATAATCAATCCTGTTGTACATAGAAATAGTGATCTTTGTGGACTTCTTAACGAAAGGAAGGCGAGAATGGAATATTTCAATTTGCCAGTATGAAAAAGAACTGACACTTGGGGAACAGTAAACTTTTTAGAAATGTTATAAATGAAATAAATGACTGGCAATTTCACTGACAGTAAAAAGGGGGAAATATAAAAAGCGTTCATATTAACCAGCAGAAAAGAAACATGAGCTATTTAAAGAACTAAGAGAACTAGAAAGGCAAAGAAAACTATAGTGTTATTTTTCTTTAGGTTTTGGTAGATAATTTTGGAAATGTAAATGATTAATTCAGAAGTTCCATGTAGATTTCCTGGACTAATTCAATCTCTCTTCCAGATCTGTCAATCACAAGTTCCTGGAAAATCTGTAAATCTTCTTGTGTACTGTTAGTTAACCTCCCAGTAAATTCATTGAGAGATACTATTTCTTTGAATCCATCCCATTATTTGATTCTTGGTTTTAATTCTTGCACCACAGGAGTCTTATTAAGGAAGTTGGGGCCTAATCCCATATGATGAAGATTAGGGCCTACTTTTTCTTCTATTAGACACAGGGTCTCTGGTTTAATTCCTAGGTCCTTGATCCACTTTGAGTTGAGTTTTGTGCATGGTGAGAGATAAGGATTTAATTTCATTTTGTTGCATATGTATTTCCAGTTTTCCCAGAACCATTTGTTAAAGAGGCTCTCTTTTCTCCAATGCATGTTTTTGGCACCTTTGTCTAATATAATTGTAATTTTGTAGGTAAGTCTCTGTGTCCTCTATTCTGTACCATTGGTCTACCAGTCTGTTTTGGTGCCAATACCATGCTGTTTTTGTTACTGTTGCTCTGTAATATAGTTTAAGGTCTGGTATAGTGATGCTACCTGCTTCACTTTTCCTGCTAAGAATTGCTTTAGCTATTCTGGATCTCTTATTTTTCCAGATGAATTTCATGATTGCTTTTTCTATTTCTATGAGGAATGACATTGGGATTTTGATCAGAATTGCATTAAATCTGAATAGTGCTTTTAGAAGTATGGTCATTTTGATAATATTAATTCTGCCTATTTCTTGAAGAACCTATAATTTAGGGGATTTTCCAGCACTGTCACCTGATAAGATGAGGACCATGGCAGTCTGGGGATCTTGAGACTGACCAGATCACCAGAAACCATCTTGAGATCACCTGATTGACACCATTCCTATATTTCTTCCTATACCCTCCCCTCACCAAGTTTCCTTTAAAAGAAGAGCTGGAAACCCCTAGAATGTATCTCTTACTCTTTGAGATGGTCCATATTCTCCCTTAAATGTATATCTGCTGTCTTAAATAAAGGTGTCTATGCCTTGTGGGGGAGGGATAGAAAGCACAAATATTGAAGTAGAAATCAGTGAGAAAAGTCTTAGTTGATACATGTCTACACAGATATCTTAGAGAAGCAAGGGAAAGAATAATGTCTGTAGATTTTTAAAAATTTTTTAGATGTTGATGGACCTTCATTTTATTAATTTATTTATATGTGGTGCTGAGAATTGAACCCAGTGCCTCGCACATGCTAGGCAAGTGCTCTACCACCAAGCCACAACCTCAGCCCTGTAGATTCTTACTCTGTAAATACTTTACTAGTTTCTGACTGTAAGTTCATTGTATTCCCTCCTCAACTCCATGAGAGTAAAATCATTTTCTTCCTTTTACAAATGAGAAAGTTCTGTTTTAGAGAAATTAAATAATTTTCTTAAGATCACTCAGCTGTTAAGTAGTAAAGTCTAAAGCCTTTAGTCTATCAGACTTTATACACTGTATAAATATACCTTTAAAAAAACCTTTTTGTTATTTTTGTTGTTCCTGGGGATATAACTCAAGGGGACTTAACCACCAGTCTCAGTAAGTTTCTTGGGACCTCACTAAATTGCTGAGGCTGGCTTTGAGCTTGTGATCCTCCTGCCTCTTGAGTCACTGGGATTACAAGCATGTGCCAACATGCCTGGCTCCCCTTTTACATTCTCAGTTTTGTAGGGGTCAGGGAGGCAACATGCATCATCCTATATAGCTTCCCTGAGAGGAAAGAAAACTCAACCCTTTTTTCTTTCTTTTCCTTCCTCCTGCCCTTTGTGCCTTGATGAGCTCTTTTGCTTCTCCATTACTTTCCTCCCCTACCATTTTTCCTTTTGTTTTCTCCTTTGTTTCTTCCATTATTCAAAAACATTTATCAAGCACATTCTATATTGCCAGGAAATGTGCTGGAAATATATAGATAAATAAGAAGACATACATGCAAGAAAAATTGTAATACCATGTCAGAATTACAGACCAGAATTTTTCAACCTCAGCACTATTGATGACTTATGCCAGATAAAAAATTTTTTTGTTGTGGGAAGCTAACCTCTGCATTGCAGAATGTTGAGCAGCATCCCTGACATCTACTCACTAAATGCCAGTAACCCATCTGCCTGAGTTATGCTAACCAAAAATGTCTCTAGACAATGCTAGCTGTCCCCTAGGAGGCAAAATCACCTCATTTTTAAATGTAGAATCTGGTGAGAGTGTAGTGAAGAAGGACTAATGAATTGTGCCCAGTAGAATCAGGGAAAACCTGGAAGTATAACATTTATGCTGCATAGTTTACTAGCAGAGGGAAAGTGAGGGAAAGCATTCTAAGTCTATCATATGATCTGTAAAATTAGGGGGTGAGGTAAAGCGCAGCTTATTTAAAGAACTGTGAATAGCCCACAGTATTCAAATCTTATAGTGCATGATGGACATTAGTAAAAGAACTAATCAAAAAGATAGGTGGGGACATGAGGGGCATCACCTGCCTTTAGGCTATATAAAGGGTTCCTCTTGAAGCATAGTTATATACCCAGGTGCTTTGGCAAAGAAGTTGAACCATTATTCTGATATTGCTGGAATGAAGACAGTGTAGAGAGTGGCCACTTACTACCATGATTCTGGGATTTAATGGAATTCAGGTCAGATTAAATAAAATGTCAGTATGACACTGGACATCCCTTCATACCCATCAAGCCATAGCTCCTTTGCTTACACAACAGCATTTCTGCCTTAGGCACTACAGACTCAAGGTCTATCTCCTAGAACACAGGTTTACACAGCCTTTTCAACTTCTCCCACCATTTTCCATTTCTTACCTCTGTTATATTACAGTCAACCAGTCACATCTCTATAAATTTATAAAAAGTGTTAAAACTGATTGAAATTGAACCCTTTATTAAAAAGAAAAGTGATTCTGGAGGATTCCATGTGGATGTTTTGGAATTTAACAAATCTAAAGAGTGTTTTGATTTGTTTTGTTTTTTTTGGAGACTAGAATATAAAGAATGACCTCTTGGCAGGTGAGACCTCATGGAAGAAGTTAGTTCATGGGGGTGTGCCCTTGAAAGGGATATTGGCTTTTCCTGTCTTTCTTGTTCACCTTGTGGCCACTATCAAGTATGCAGCCTCCTCTGTTTTGCACTCCCTCACATGTTCTGCCTTGCCATGGGCCCAGAGGCAAGGGGGCCAAGCAACCATGGATTGGGAAACATGAAACAAAAGAAACCTTGGGCTGGGGTTGTGGTTCAGTGGTAGAGAGCTTGCCTAGCACGTGTGAGGCACTGGGTTCGATCCCCAGCACCACATAAAAATGAATAAATAGAATAAAGATATTAAAAAAAAAAAAGAAACCTTTCCTCCTTTTAAGTTTGTTATCTCAGGTATTTTGCCATAGTGGTGAAAACCTGACTGATAAATCTCCCTGTATCCCTAAATAAAATATCACAGGTATACTCCAAAAATATTGTCTGTTCTTCAGCCAAACTGATTTTGATGTTCAAGACCATGCTTCTCCATTTATTATCTGTTGGAAAATTAACTAACATCTCTGTGCCTGTTTTCTAATTTTTTAAAAAATTTCACTTTTAATTAATTTTATTTTGGGGATGTGTGTGTATGTATGAGAGAGAGAGAGAGAGAGAGAGAGATACTGGAGATTGAACCAGGGGCACTCTACCTCTGAGGTACATCCTCAGCTCTTTTTACTTATTTTGAGACAAAGTCTTACTAAGTTACAAACTTTTGATCCTCCTGCCTCAACCTCCCAAGTAGCTCCTCGTCTTTTAAAATAAGGATACTACCAATACCTATCTTATAGGGTTCTTGTGATTGTGAAATGAGTTAACCTTTGTAAGGTATATAGAACAGTTTCTGGCACATAAGTCAGTTCTCAGTGAATGCAAGTATATTACTATTAATCATTATCATCATCATCATCATCATCATCATCATCTGTAGATGATATGTCCAGTAGGTAGTTGAAAATGTAAGTCTTAAATTCAGGAAAAAATAATGATTAGAGAGTAAGACTTAGGAGACACTTGTTGATTTAACCACTGAAACTGTGAAAGAGATACCTCAGGCAAAATTTAGAATAAGAAGCCTGTAGAATTAAAGATGAACTCTTGAGGGAGATTTGCATTTAAGAAACAGGTGATGAAAAAACATAGCAAGAGTCGAGAAGACCAGAGAACCAGGTAAGAGTAGTACTGTAAAATCACCAGAAGTATCAAAACCTGCAAAATTTAAAAGCCACTAGTAATGTTTAACTGAATAATTTAGTGAAATATTGTCTGCTTTTAGTGTTGTTTTATGTTATGTCTTCATATAAAACAAAATGTACTATAATTAAATTAACAGTCATGTTATTTCAGGAGTTGTCATGATATACAAATATATCATGATTCTTAAAGCTAGAGGAACAATTACTTGAATTTGAGGAATAATTAAAAAATGATAGATTACCTGTATATAAGTGAATACCATAAACTAAGTATGTTAATTTGATTTTTATCAATGTGACAGAATACCTGAGATTTAAAAAAAAAAACTTAAGGGAGGAAAGATTTATTTTGGTTCACAGATTCAGAATGTTCAGTATACAGTTGCTTAACCTCATTACCTTGGGTCTGTGGTAAGGCAGAGCATCATGGTGGAGCAAAGCTGCTTACCTCAAAGTTGCCAAGAAACAAAACAAAATCAAACACAAAAAGAGGAAGGGTCTGGGACCCCAGTAACTCTTTTAAGGGCATCTCCCAGTGACCTAACTTCCTTCCACTAGACCCCATCTTCTAAAGGTTCTACAATAGTACCACCAATTGACAACCAAAATTTTAACACATGGACCTTGGGAGAGACACTCCAGATCCAAGCTAAAGCACCAAGTTAAAAGATAAATGACAGGGCTGGGGTTGTGGCTCAGCGGTAGAGCGCTCACCTAGCACGTGCGAGGCACTGGGTTCAATCCTCAGCACCACATAAAAATAAATAAAGTAAATATATTGTGCCCAACTACAACTAAAAAAAAATTTTTTTTAAAGATAAATGACAGAGTGATATTATCTATTTAGAGTCCCATTTATATGCTTATTGCTTTAATCCCATCTGAATCTTTGCTTACACCTAGTTTAAAATGTGCTTGCTTGCTTCTCTTTGTGTCCAAGTCCTGCTTTTTCTGAAGGCCCAATTTCTAGTACCATCTTATTCATGAAGTCTTTTTTTTCAGGACCTTTTAAATCTCATTAATTGAAAGTTTTCTGTTTTCCCAATGAAAAGATATCTGAATGTCTTAGTACTTGTTGTATCTGGCATAGAAATCCTGCCAATAATAGTGCTTAACAAGCATTTATTATCATTTTTTAAGAAGTATAGGAGTCATATAGTTCTAGAATATTCCTAGAAACACAGAGCCTAGCCTCATTGGCTTTTGAATGAATATTAAGAAAAAATCCAATCATGTATCCAGTCTGCTTTATATTTTTGATAAATTTCTATAGTAAATAAAACAAAGGCCGTGAAATATCTTGTTTTATTTACTTTTAGCAGATGTAAAAATGATTAACTTTATTGCATATATTGATTTTTATAATTCTATTTTAGGTGGGTAGGGATCCCTCAATTCACATATGGGATACAGAGACTATTAAACCATTGTCAATATTAAAGGGCTACCACCAATATGGTGTCTGTGCTGTTGATTTCTCAGGTAAGCCTATTTTCTATTTCAATAAGAATGAACCAAATGCAGAGGCAATATGTAGAATTTTAATCTGAATCAGTGTTACCTAAGCTTGTGATTTAGCTATGTCCTTCACAATTTTTTTTCAAATGTGCATACTGTTGTTCTAATTAAACACAGCAGTGAAAGTATAGATTCATTGACTAGTGTCTAATTATAGTTCAATTAGTATGATTTTAATACCCTTTAAACTTTGTTAAAAACTTACCCTTTAAATTCTATTAAAATCAACACTTAAAATCAACTCAGTTACACTAAATGGTATGTATCTCTCCTTTTGGGCAAACTTCTGATTTCATCTTAATGTTTTATAGTTACAGAATAAACGTTGAAAATGCTAATGGTGAAAGGTTAAGAATGAAAGAAATGAGAACTGAAATATTTGTTTAAGACATTTCTATTAAGTGACAATTTCAGGCCACCTTATAATTTCAGAACATGCTTACACTTTTCAGTATGTTTAAACATTAGCAACTAAAGATAGGTCTATACTGAAAGCCAGGGTGTGGAGTAGGAAGAGGGAAGAAAATATCCTTAACAGAGAATTCTATATTAAATTAGTGCTTTTTTGCTATTCTGACTGAAGTGACAAGTTAACCATAAGTGAGATTTAGGAGAAAATATATATATACTTTCAAGGAGACTAATAGTCAAGAAACAAGAAAATGAATAACAGATTAAGTGGATCAACAATAAAAATGCCACTGGAAGTATTGAGGAACTAATTGAGGTTTACAAACATGTGGCAAAATAGAAAACATTTTCTTATAGTCTAAGCCTTATAACCTGTGTATAAACACAGCCTGTCAGCCTGTCTCATTATTCATTTGTCTCAATGATTCATCTAATATACTCATTACTTGTTGCTTAATAACAAATAATTGACTTTCATTAAAAGCAGTAATACTAATGTTGACAGTATATTGTAACCTGTGTATTTTTCATTTAGCTTTTCATGATTACTGAGTTCTTATTATCACAACAGAATTCTTATGGTGAATTTAATGGAATCAAATCTTTTATTCCCCTCCTTTCTTAATTTATCTTTCCTTTTCATTTTTTCCCTGCAGATTTTGTTTTGTTTTTAATTGACCTGTAACAATTGTACATGATCATGGGTATAGTGTGATGTTTTGATATGTGTAAACACTGTGTAACAATTATCTCAGAGTCTTTAGCCTATTCATCAATTCATACATTTATCACTTTCTCTTTCCCTTTCCCATCCCAGTTAGTTGGACAGATAAAGCATAAGGTCAGGTGAGATAAAAAAGAAATTAATTTAGCTCACAGGTAGACCCATTGGTTCTGCCTCTGGTGAGAGCCCCCTTGGCTGTGTCACAACATGATAGATGGCATCATGGTGGGAATGAAAGCAAGAAGGAGAGATCACGTGGTGAGATGGGAAGCCAGAGAGATTCAGGGGTCAAGTTTGCTGTTTTATAACAACCCATTATCATGGAACTCACTCACTCTGAAAGACCAGCATTATTCCTTACTGAGGGCAGAGCCCCCTATAACGTTTTTACCTCAAGGTAGGCCCCAGCTGTGAAAGGTTCTATCAACTCAGTACCACCACACTGAGGACCAAGCCTCTAGCACCTGAAACTTGTAGGGAAACTACATTCAAATGACAACATTTAGCTTTAGAATACATACAAAATGTTTGTCTTCTGAATGTAAATGGTCAGTAAGTATATCACTCTGGTTAATTGTCACAGCGGATGGGAAACGTTTGGCTTCAGTTGGAATAGATGATAGCCACACCATTGTACTGTGGGACTGGAAGAAAGGAGAGAAACTTTCAATGGCAAGGTAAGGAAGTAACTTGATATGACAAAATACTAGAATTATTTTGGAATTAAACTTTAAAATAATTTTGAAATCAAGCAAATATGCTACCATCTTTTTTATCTTTGAATAAATAATATCAGGTAAAAGATAATTGATTTTATAATTTCTTTGTAAGCTGAGTCTTTATGAGCATTTTTAAAATACATTTTTAGTTATCAATGTATCTTTATTTTATTTATTTATATGTGGTGCTGAGGATCAAACCCAGTGCCTCACACACGCTGAGCAAGTGCTCTACCACTGAGCCACAACCCCAGCCCTGGACCCCTTTCCTTACTGTAACTATAATAAGGCTCTGAAAATAATGGTTACTTTAATTATCCATTTACAGGTAGAGTGAATTCTATATAATAGCCTATTAGACAGCAGTGTTATAACATAAACAGTGAACAGCCAAAATGTTTACATTATATATTTAAGTGAAAAAAGATATACCTATAGTAAAGAAGTTATTGCGGTTTTTAATCTATTTTTCTTCACTCTAAATTTTCTATAGTGAATATCTTGGTTTTTATTTTTAATTTTTTTATTATGATGAATCAGAAATATTCCTATGAAGAAACCTAAATTCCTAAGATGAAAATTAGAATTGTTTTACTAAAATTATATAATTTACAATTGAAAAGTTAATTATCTAAAATGATTAAAGATTGTTGGAAAAACTATGTTAAATTTTAATGAAATATTACTTAAATTCTTTAATTCATTTATGTCATAAGCTGTGTTCCTCATGCACAGTTGTAGGTATCATAGGTGCTACTCAAAAGAAGTTTTCACTGTTTCTATCTTTTGACAACCTGTTGAACAGAGTTGACATATTAAAATAATGACAAAGCCAGGTGCAGTGGCACATGCCTGTAATTCCAGCCACTCAGGAGGCTAAGGCAGGAGGATGCAAGTTGGAGACCAGCCAGATCAACTTAGTGAGCTCCTGTTTCAAAAAATAAAAAGGGCTGGGGATGTAGCTCTGTGGTATAACAGCCCCAGGTTAAGTTCATAGTACTGCCAAGAGAGAGAGAGAGAGAGAGAGAGAGAAAGAGAAACACACACACACAGACACACACACGCACACACACATAAAGTGAATATACAAATGCATGTCTTCACAGCCCAAACCCAAAGGACAAGTGGGAAATAGACATTCAGTAAAGTGAGAAGTAAAGATAGAGTATGGATCAGGGAAAAGGTTGTTACAGGATAGCTTTGTCTTCAGAGCTAAAAATTTTGTATTTATTTCAGAGGAAGTAAAGATAAGATTTTTGTTGTTAAGATGAACCCCTACATGCCTGATAAACTGATTACAGCTGGAATTAAACACATGAAATTTTGGCGTAGAGCAGGTAAGGAAGTGTTTCATTTTACTTCTTTGAAAATTAAGAAATTGTTATTTTTTTAATATTTATTTTTTAGTTGTAGTTGGACATAACACCTTTATTTCACTTGTTTATTTTTATATGTGGTGCTGAGGATCGAACCCAGGGTCTCGCACGTGCGAGGTGAGCGCTCTACCGCTGACCACAACCTCAGCCCAAGAAATTGTTATTTTAAAAAGTAATTTAGCTAAGTGCAGTGTGGTATCCCAGACTGGATTCTGGAACAGAAAAGGGACATTGGTGGAAAAACTGGTGAAATCTGAATGAAACCTAGGGTTCAGTTAATAGTAATATATCAAAAATGATGGTTTCTTAGTTTTGACAATGGAATTGTAATAATAGAAGATGTTAACATTAGAGGAAACTGGATGGAGGCATATATGGGAACACTATGTTATCTCTGCATCTTTTTTGGAAATCTAAAATTTTCCAAGATAGATTTATTTTTAAGTGACTTACTGTTGTGTTGGTGCATTTTAAACAAAGATGCATTTATGTAATATTCATATTTGCAAAAGGAATTAACATATGAGATTAATCAGTTGGTTGTCTAGACTCCTTTCTTCTATTAAAAGACATGATTTATAGTTTAAACTAAAAATGAAAAATTATGTAAAAATTCTTTATATGATATAGAAACAAAATGTTCCTTTAATTTAGTCATTTGTAACTGTAAATTACAAATATAGAAGTTCACATCTTAAAATAAAAAATATTTTTTCTTTTCCAGATAGAATGAGTACATTTATAAAGTCCCAACAATGTCACATTGATGTCTCAATGAATTTAAATCTTTCACAGAAAATATGTAAATGTAGGAGGAAGAATAGGCTTAGTGAAGACATTTCCCAAGTTCAAGTACCTTTCAAGTTGTATTCTACATAGGAAATAAATTGATTCTTCTGATTTGGAGTTAATATTTTATCACAGATTTATCATAGTGTATGCATTTACAAAGGAAAAAGTATTTTCATGTTTATAATTTCATTTCCATATGATTGAACAAAATTTTCATTTGGACCTCTTAGTCACTTGAAATTGCAAATAGCCAGCAAATATTATTTAGCATTTCTCTTAAAAACAAAAACTATGAATTTGTTATTTTAAAGAAAGTAAATAGCCTTAAAATGAAAAGATATATAACTGAGTAACTTTCTTCCTTAAATTTGATTACACATATATTTGACCTGAACTTGAACCTGAACCGTATAAGGATAAATGTTAGGGTTTTAGCGCACATTTCAACCTTCATCACTTTTAGAGTTCTGATCCATGGAGTTCACTAGCCAAGTGGGAAATTAGTACCTATTTTCTTATTCTAAGTATTGTCTAACACTCTAAATGCATACTTTTAGGTAAATTAAGTTGAAGAAGGTGAATCAGACCTGAGGTTAAAATGGAGTCTCTCTTGCCACTTATCCCAAATCTAGACTGGGCATTCCAAGTTATGAATTATTGGTTTCTCCCTAAAGTATTTTAACTCTATTCCAAAGACAGGGAACCACTGAAAGTTTTTAAGTGTTAATGACATGGTCTTGTGCAATAGGAACATGTTATATTATATGTATCAGAAAACCTAACTATCAGTTATCTAAACCAGGAGTGAAAACTTTCTGCAAATGATCAGATAGGAAATATTTTAGGTTCTCCAGGTGAAAAGGACAAAAATGAAGAATATTCGTAGGTACTTAGAGAACAAGGGAAAAAATTGTCCTGTTTTGATTACCCTGTTTGTTCCCAATTGCTATGAATTGGAAATATACTCTCTAAAACTATACTATTGTAGGGAATGGGCCTAGTAGGTTGGGGTATGGTGTTAGTCAGTTTTTTTTTTTTTTTTTTTTGACAGTGACCAAAATAACTGAAAAACAGCAACAACAACAACAAAAAAAAACTTAGAGGAGGAAAAGTTTAGTTTAGCTCACAGTTTCAGAGGCCTTACTTAGTCCATGGTGGCCGACTTTATTAATCTGGAATATCATAGTGGAAGGTAAGGCAGGGAAATCTGCTCAAGCCATGACAGCCAGGGAGCAGAGAGAAGGGGCTGAGGAGGAGATGAACCCTTGCAGGGTATGCTCCTGGTGACCTACTTCCTCCAACTATCTCCTAGCAGTTCATTCAGCTATCAATGGGTTTATCCATTTAATGAGGTCAGAGTCCTTATAATATAATCATTGCTTGAAAGCCTCACTTATGAACCCTGCATCCCTAAAGACTATGCTTCTAACATATGAACTTTTAAGGACATTCCAGATCCAAATCATAACAGGTGGAGAAGTAGCCATGGGCAGCTTCACTCTGAAGCTATGTGTCCCAATGAAGCATAGATACCAATGTGTCTTCTTTCTGAGAGCCTGACCCTCTGAACTTAGGCAACTGGCCAAAGATGGGGGAAACTACTGGACTTATTCCACTGCTAGGTGCTTAGCAGTTGCCATTAGCAGAGTCTTCAGCGTATAGTTGGTGACCAGATCAGGCTCTAGGCAGCTGTTAGCTGCAGCTGCAAATCAAACAGGCTTTCTGTGGCTCTAGTGCTAACCTCCTCCAGTGGAACTTAAATAAAATAGATGGCCACAGAATTTGGCCCATAACCAGTTGTTTGCTGACCCCATTCTAGACAGATAGTCTGTGCTGTAATGAAGCGCAGTTGCCCTACCTGTGCACTAGATTCCTTCTCTTGTCTACTCAAGGACACCACTCCAGTTCTTTCCTTTCTGACTTTCCCTTCAGCATGTAAGTCTGGTATTATTTCCTTATCTTCTTTTTTTTTTTTTTTTTTTTTGGTACTTGTGATTGAACCCAGGGATGCTTAACCACTGAACAACATCCCCAGCCCTTTTATTTTAAGACACAGTTTTGTAAGTTGCTGAGGCAGGCCTCAAACTTGTAATCCTCCTGCTTCAGCCTCCTGAGTCACTAGGATTACAGGTGTGTGCTACTATGCCTGGCCATTTCTTCATCTTGAATAAATGAAACAAACCTTTCAATTCTGTTCTCTAGTTGCTAATCATTCTCTCTTGTTTCCTATATACTGAAGCACCTCCAAACAGTTATGTGCTTTCACTTTATAGTTACTCCTCTTTCTCTTAAGAGAAATCTAACCTTCACCACGTCATCTGACTGCTCTTGAAGTGTTATTAATGACTCTGCTTGTTGGTTTTCTGAATACTTTCAGAATCTGACCACTTTTCATCTTCTAGGCTACCACCCTGGTCCTTGCCTCCTTAATCATTTAGTCAGATGATTGAAATAGACATATAACTTTTTATCCCCCTCATCCTTCAATCTGTTCTCAACCCAGAAGTCAAAATTAATTTTAATAAGTCATATGCCAGATCTTATCATTCTACTACTCAAATATTTTCCATCTCATGCAAAGTAAAAGCTATACCCTTATAGTGGCCTGCAAAACACCCTCTGACCCATCTCCTAGTATTGTTTCTCTTTCTTTTTTAAAAAATTTAATTAATTAATTAATTTTACAGTAGAATGCATTTTGACACATAATACACAAATGGAACACAATATCTCATTCCTCTGGCTGTACATGGTTCACAGTCACTCCACTAATGTAATCTTACATATATATAGGGTAATAATGTCTGTCTCTTTCTACCATCCTTCCCACCCCCACAAGCCCACCCCTCCCATGACTCCCCTCTATACAAACCAAAGTTCCTTCATTCTTTCCTATCCCCTTGCCCCACTGTGGATCAGCATTCGCTTATCAGCTTTTGGTTTTTTGGGATTGGCTTATTTCACTTAATGATATTCTCTAGTTCCATCTATTTACCTGCAAATGCCATAATTTCATTCTTCTTTAAGGCTGAGTAATATTCCATTGTGTATACGTACTATATTTTCTTTATCCATCCATTCTTTATCCAGGTTGAAGGGCACCTAGGTTGGTTCCCTAGTTCAGCTATTGTCAATTGAGCTGCTATAAACATTGATGTGGCTGTGTCACTGTAGAATGCTGATTTTTAAGTTTTATGGGTATAAGACTGGGATATCTGCGTCAAATGGTGGATCCATTCCAAGTTTTCTGAGGTATCTCTATACTGCTTTCCATAGTGGTTGCACTAGTTGCAGTCCCACCAACAATATATGAGTGTACCTTTTCCCCCACATCCTTGCCAATACGTTTTTATTGCTTGTAAACTTGATGATTGCTGTTCTGACTAGAGTGAGATGAAATCTTAAGAGTAGTTTTTACTTGCATTTCTCTAATTACTAGAGATAATGAACATTTTTTCATATGTTTGTTGATCGGTTGTATTTCTTCTTCTATAAAATGTCTATTCAGTTCCTTAGCCCATTTATTGACTGAGTTATTTATCTTTTTTTGGTGTTATGCTTTTTGAGTTCTTTATATATCCTGGAGATTAGTGCTGTGTCTGAGGTACCTGTAGTAAAGACTTTTTCCCATTCTGTGGGCTCTCTCACCACATTATAGATTGTTTCCTTTGCTGATAAGCAGCTTTTTAGTTAGAATCTAGCCCACATACTGATTCTTGATTTTACTTCTTGTGCTTTAGGAGTCTTGTTCAGGAAGTCAGATCTTAAGCCAACATGATGAAGATTTGGGCCTACTTTTTCTTCTGTTAGGTGCAGGGTCTCTGTTCTAGTGTCTAAGACTTTGGTCCACTTTGAGTTGATTTTTGTGCAAGGTGAGAGATAGATGTTCAATTTCATTCTGCTACATTTGGATTTCCAGTTTTCCTAGCACCATTTGTTGAATGGGCTCTCTGTTCTCTAATGTATGTTTTTGATGCCTTTGTCTAGTATGAGATAGTCATATTTATGTGGGTTGGTCTCTGTGTCTTTTATTTTGTACCACTGGTCTACATGTCTGTTTTGGTACCAAAACCATGCCATTTTTGTTACTGTTGCTCTGTGATATAGTTTAAGGTCTGTGATGCCTCCTGCTTCACTCTTCTTGCTAAAGATTGCCTTGGCTATTCTCGTTCTCTTATTTTTCCAAATGAATTTCATGATTGATTTTTCTAGTTCTATAAAGAATGTCATTGGGATTTTTATAGTAACTGCATTAAATCTATGTAACAGTTTTGATAGTATGGCCATTTTGACTATATTAATTCTGCCTATCCAAGAGCATGGGAGATCTTTCCATCTTCTGAGGTCTTCAGTTTCTTTCTTTAGTGTTCTGTAGTTTTCATTGTAGAGGTATTTCACCTCTTTTGTTTGGTTGATTCTGAAGGTGGTTTTTTTTTAGGCTATTGTGAATGGGGTAGTTTTTCTAATTTCTCTTGCAGTGGATTCATGTATAGAAATGATTTATGGGTATTGATTTTATATCCTGCTACTTTGCTGAATTCATTTATGAGTTCTAGAAGTTTTCTGGTGGAATTTTTTGGATCTTCTAAATATAGAATCATTTCATCAGCAAATAGTGGTAGACTGAGTTCTTCTTTTCCTATGCATATTCCTTTAATTTCTTTCTTATTGCTCTAGCTAGCAGTAAGGACTATGTTGAATAAAAGTGGTGAAAGAGGACGTCCCTGTCTTGTTCCAGTTTTTAGGGGGAATACTTTCAGTTTTTAGGGGGAATACTTTCAGTTTTTCTCCATTTAGAATGATGTTGGCCTGGGGCTTAGCATAGATAGCTTTTACAATGTTGAAGTATGTCTCTAGTTTTTCTAGTGTTTTGAACATGAAGAGGTGTTGTATTTTGTCAACTGCTTTCTCAGTATCTATTGAATGATCATATAATTCTTGTCTTTAATCTCTTACTTTCTTTGCTACTCTTCATTTCTCTCCTGATTGATCCTTGAAGATTCTAGTCACATTCTTGCTTTGGGGCCTTTGCACTTGCTGCTCCTTCTGCCTGAAACACTATTCTAACTCAGCTTGCTCTTGCTACCTCCTTCAATTCTACATTCAGATACCACCATCATGATAAGGCTTTCCCTTCACACCCTTACAATGGACTCCTCAAACTTCTTATATCCTTTTTAGGCTTACATTTTTTCCAAAGCACCCATAATTACCTAATTTATTGTACATTTTACTTAATTGTCATATTCATTAACTGTCCATATAAAGTTCACAAAACCAGAGAATTTTGTTGTCTGTTTTGTTCTTAGCTCTACTTCCAGTGCCTTGAACAGTGTATGGCATGTGTATGTCTTAAATAAATGAATGAATGAGTTCAATTGGAAAAAATGGACAAAAGATATCAATAGGTGATGAATAACAAATAAAAATATGAAAATATGATCAAATTCATTTATGCTAACAGAAATGTAAATTAAGACCACAATAAAATTCACTTGATATTTCACATTCCATTTTTTGACAATACCTAGTGTTCCTAAATGTGGGAAACAACAGGAACTCTTTTCACAGTTACTAGAAGTGGAAGTTGGTATATTGAACTGGGAGAAAAATTTACAAAGAAGAGCTGGGGCTACTCTTATTTAAATTGCTCCTTTTGCACATTATTCTATGACTACTCCTACTCATTCCTCGAGCTACTCTTACAATTGTATAGAAGAGATCCTTATAAGAATGTTTAAGGCAGATTTGTTTTCAATAGCAAAAATGAGAAGCAACTTAAATACTTGTTAATAAAAAATGAATAAACGAATGTTTGTGTAATGAAATAAATCCATAGTTATGAAAATGTTTTCTAGAAGTAAAAATCAACTTGTATAAAACTGACAAATCCTTGGTGAATAAAGCATGTTGCAAAAGAAAACATACAAGATGATATTTATAGAAAATTTTGAAATGTGAAAAATCATATGACACATGACTCAAGAATTAATAAATACATAATAAGATGTATAAAGGAATACAGGAGAATGATCAACTTTACATTCAGAATAGTAGTATGTGAAGAAGGGATATAGGATTGGCATGACATGTCACTTGGTTTGGTATATTTTTGTATTTTGATAGAGGATATACAGGTGTTTGTTGTGTTGGTACAAAAAATATCTTTTGTATTCTTAAATATGTCATACTAAAAATTTTGTAAAATATTATCAAAAATGCTGAAGACTTATTAATACTGACGTAGGCCATGTCTTATTTATCAAAAAAACTATGGCCTAAAATACACCATGCAAGGTGGTATCTGAATTGCTGATTAAGAGATCCATATTTCTCTTTTTAATTCTTCTTACTGTTACATGTCTTTCTACTCAAACAACAATAGTAGAAAAGAAACTGTACTTTATAATTGTGTATATTTTGAAAGTGGTACTCTTGTAATATTTTTTATGAACCAGGGGGAGGATTGATTGGAAGAAAAGGCTACATAGGCACATTGGGGAAAAATGACACAATGATGTGTGCAGTGTATGGATGGACTGAAGAGATGGCTTTTTCTGGAACATCCACAGGAGATGTGTGTATCTGGAGAGATGTCTTCCTTGTAAAAACAGTTAAAGCACATGATGGGCCTGTGTTCAGTATGCATGCACTGGAAAAAGTAAGTAATTTAAAGAGATTTCAAATTAAACACAATCTGATCATGGCATATAGAGCATTTTCAGAAGTATAGGAACCCTGCTGTTCTTCTTGGCTGGACTACCCTATTATAGTCTGTGGGACAGGGTCTTTTGACCTTGGTTTGTTCCTTTCTTCAACTTCATAAACACAGATTGAAATAGGTCAACATTTTGAAAAAATGTTTAACTTAATATTTATTAATCCCTTACTAGTTGTCAAAAATTGTTTTACATATAATCATTATATCCTATCAGGTGGATACCAGTATTATTCCTTCTTTGTAAAGACTGAAGTTAAAAAGACTCCAGGAGAATATATGCGACTTTCTGAAATTGGTGATCTAACTCATAATTCCAAATTAGTATTAGTATTATTAGTATCCTATACTAATAGTAGAATGTTTATTATTTTAAGTATTTTTACAGATTTAATGTCAATTCTTTAAAAGCTGTTATGGATTCTTATCTAATTCCTGTTATTTGCAAGCTGTAACTTTTGTCTGTAGTCTTTCCTCTAGAGTTTTCCAATATGAAGGAGGTTATTATTTTTTAAAATATTTAAATCTTTAATAATTTGAATATTTTATTTTCATAGGGATTTGTAACTGGAGGAAAAGATGGTATAGTAGCTCTTTGGGATGACTCTTTTGAAAGATGTCTCAAGACCTATGCTATAAAAAGAGCTGCTTTGGCCCCAGGATCCAAAGGTGATTTGAGATTTAATTTATTTGTAAAAAAAGAGATCAATTGTTCATTAGTTAACTTGATTATTGAGGTGGACCACATGGAATATATTTTTCCTTCTTTATTCAATGGGCATCAGATTTAATTGGGACTTACTTGATACCAGAATCATTGCTATTCTTTCAAAAATATGTTTTCTGAGATACATGTAATAAAATATTAGCCAAGTACAATTTTATCAATATTAACTTTTAATATTTTTAATTTTTCAAAGGAAATTTCCATGTGAGCATCATATTTATCATCAGCCAGGAACTTGTTTTCTGACTTGGCTTTTTTTTTTCATCATGGCTTTTTGTTGACCCTGCTACTTAACCTCACAGGCCCTTCTTCCCTTTGCCTTTACTTTCAATGCACTTCTTCCTTTAAGGCACTATGCCACGCTCTGTCTGGCCTCCAGACTTTTGGCATATTAGTTTTGCCTAGAATTTATTCTTCCCTCTTCCTCCATTTCCTAATTACATTCTCATTTTTCAAATCTCAAACACTAGTTCTTCTAGGATGACTTCCCTATCCTCACCTCCCCACAAAAAGGTGAAAATTCCTTGCTATATGCTCCTTTTTGAATATGTTCCTAACACAGGGTCTGTTTTCCTCACTGTATGCTATAAAGGGGAGGAGTTAGGTTTGTCATATTTACTAATATATCACTGAAGCCTGTGTAGGACACAGTAGACATAAAAGAATATATTTTACATTGAATTAAAATTGCTAATCAGAATAGTGTAAGTGTTCTAAGAGGGGCAGGAGATTGATGAGGAAGGGCTAACACAGAAGTAAAGAAAGAGTTGTCAGGGGTTAGGGTATAATTCAGTGATAGAACACTGACATAGCATATGTGGAATACTGAGTTCAATCTCCAGTACCTTAAAACAACAACAACAAAAACAATAAAATTCTACTATATTTGTGTACTTCTTTTGAAATTAATAAATCGATTGAAGGAACTACAGTGCATTATTAGAATTCTTGAAATACAGGAGAAATCAACCTTGTATGGGTTCATTGTCAAAATAACTGTCACGAGCTGGGGTTGTGGCTCAGTGGTAGAGTGCTTACCTGCCATGCCTAAGGCACTGGATTCGATCCTCAGCACTACATAAAAATAAAATAAAGATATTGTGTTCACCTATAACTAAAAAAATAAATATTTTAAAAAATAGTAGTGTCACAATACGTCCTTTTATTAATAACTTCATACATATAATAACATCTCATTTTAACATTTCAGGTCTTCTCTTGGAAGATAACCCATCTATACGTGCCATATCATTAGGCCATGGTCATATTTTAGTTGGCACAAAGAATGGTGAAATATTAGAAGTGGATAAAAGTGGCCCAGTAACACTTCTGGTCCAGGTACTTTGAAATACTAATATGCTTTTTTCTCTTTACATAGAATTTATTCTTTCATGACATAAGAAAAGTTGACAGTGGTGAAAAATAATGTTAATTAGGGAAATATTTGTTAATATGTAAAGAAAAATTTTAATTTGGTTATCACTAATATCAGTAAATAAATATTCCTATTCTCATATGGAATAATTGCCAATATTTTGAGTTAATTCTTATCACAAAATAAACCAATAGAAAAACTGGCTGTTAAGAATTTAGCCCAGCACATTTATTTCACATTTAATTTTATCTATTTGAGATATGTTTGTTTAACATAAGGCAGTTATTTTTCTGTGAAGCTCTGTAGATGAGTCATTGTTAGTTTCTAACTTAAAAAAAATGAGGGCTGGGGTTGCGGCTCAGTGGTAGAGCGCTCGCCTCGAACATGGGAGTCTCTGAGTTCTATCCTCAGCACCACATACACATATCAACTATAGCTAAAAATAAATAAATAAAAATATTTTTAAAAATGAGTGTATAACTGTATGATAAAATTTTATTGCTGAAAACATTTATTAGTCAAAGTATGTCAATAATAAAACAGAAAATCAGAAATATAAAAATCTGTGTAGTAGAAATATAAACATACCAGCAATAGCTGTTGGCCATATGGCCCTTAACATTTCCATAGAGTGGCATGTAAGGTTTTTACATGTACATTTCTTTAGTGTATTATATTTTTCTGAAAAGTAAGGAGGGAAATAGATCAACACTGTAAAACATAGTGAGGTTGGCTCTATCCTGATGAAAAACTGTCCTTATGCAATTCTATATAATAATCAAACTTTGGTTTGCCTTTTACTCTGAAAAAGAATTATTTTCTTTCTTAATACTCACTTATCTCTCTTCTAACCTCCACTTCACTCTTAAGACAGCAAAAAGTACACATAGATGAGAACACTGCACATTCTTTAATGCTTTATTATATTATTAATATGACATTAAAGAATAAATATGCAAATGATAAAACATTAAATTAATGCTATCTTACTCAATTTCAGTTTATAAATGCCTTTGAAATTAAAAATGGAGTTATAATAAATGTTTTTAGCAATAAAATTTTATCATACGGTTATACACTCATTTTTCTGTGTTTAATATGTTTATGATATCTTAGGAAATATTAGCACAAGTACCCTCTGATGGATGAATTCAGAGATGGAATTTTTAAAAACCACAGTTTCATAATTATAAAAAAAATTAAGTACTAAATGATATTTATTAAGAGAAATACTTTAGGCAAAATAAAATTAGCAGAGTGTATTTGAACATTAAAATATTCGTGAATTGGACAGCATCTGAAACCAGAAGAGGTTCAGCAGAATCTGCTGCAGGAGCACAGGCAGCGAGCTTTTACAGACAATGTGGACAACAAAGATCTAGTTGATTGGTTAGAGTGGGAAAACCTTAATTAGAGATTAGTTGGCTGTTTCTGATTGGTAAAGTATCTAGTTTCACTTTATTTTGTACATGGGGCTTTGGTTATCTTACATAGGCACCTAAAGCACTGAAGCTATCCCAGCCTAATTAAAATTAAATTAAAATTTTTTTGTTTTTGTTTTTGTTTGGTACTGGGGATTGATCTCAGCGGCACTCAACCACTGAACCACATCCCCAGCCCTATTTTGTATTTTATTTAGAGACAGGGTGTTGCTGAATTGCTTAGTGCCTCGACATTGCTGAGGCAAGCTTTGAACTCAAGATCCTCCTGTCTTGACCTCTCAAGCCACTGGGATTTAAAATTGTTTTTAATACATTGTTGGGGGGGGGGGAGGCTGGGAATTAAACTCAGGGCCTGACACATGCTGAGCATGTGCTCTAACCACTAAGCTATACACCCACCAAATTTCATTATTTGGGGTATTTATTATAAATTTAAGATTTCATTGTCTTTTTATTTTGAAATCAGGAACAAGGGAAGATGCCACATTACCATTTTTGTCCAATATGGGTAAAACCTTAGCCAATTCAGTAAAACAAATCAATAAAAGTGTAAGTGCTAGAAATAAATGGACAACGGTGGTATTTTTAGATACAACAAATTTGTATATCAAGAATAAACTGAAAAATTGTTGGAAATAATGTTTAGATACAAAATCAGCATATAAAAATCAATAGTATTTATGTAGCAGCAATAACAAGTTTGAAAATATGACATAAAACATGCTGTTCAGGGCTGGGGTTGTGGCTCAATAGTAGAGTGTTTGCCTAGCATGCATAGGGCACTGGATTCAATCCTTAGCACCACATAAAAATAGAATAAAGATATTGTGTCCACCTAAAAACTAAAAAATAAATATTTTAAAAAAACATGCTGTTCATATAAAAGAACTACATAGTAACCCAGAATTTTGTAGTTAAACTATCCAAGAAAAAATAAATGATAGATTCAATATGATTCAATATGATTACAATTCAAACTTTAATGAGATTTTTCACAAATTCTAGAAAGATTTTTTAAGATCATCTAGAGGAGAAAAGAAGATCAAGAAATCTTTGAGAAATTCTCCAGGAAAAATAAAAAAGATAATATAAAACTATAGTAATTAAAAATGTGGGAATGTTTATACCTAATGTAAATGTTAAATAGTTAAAAAAAAATATGACGATTGTAGCAGCACTGTCTGTAGATCAGTTTAGGGATTCATCCTAACAGGATTAAGTCTTCCTACCTATGAATATGGGATAGCTCTCTATTTATTTAGACCTTTTCTTTTTTCAGAAGGGTTTTGTGATTTGCAGTATACAAGTCTTATATCTATTTTGTTCAATTTATTTGTAAGTATTTTATTATTTGTAATACCATTATACAGTTCTTTTTAATTTTGTTTTCAGATTGTTCATTACTAGTGTAGAGAAATACAGTTGATTTCGTACATAGCCTATAATATAGCCTATAATAGGACCTTATATCCAATAAATTTGTTGACTTCATTTATTATAATAGTTTAATAAGTAGATTATTTAGGATTTTCTATATATAAGATCATGTCATCTGTAAGTAGAGATAGTTTTATTTCCTTGTATTCAATCTGATTGGCTTTTATTTCTTTTTCTTGCCCTATTGTCCTGGCTAAAGCTTTCAGTATAATGTTTAAGTGGTTAGAAAAGACACCTTTGTCTCGTTCCTAATCTTAGAGAAAAAGAATTCAGCTTTCCACCATTAAGTATAATGGAACCACGGCTTTTTCATAGATTCTCTTTACTCGGTTGAGAAACCTTCTTATTCCTAGTTTTTTCTAAACATTGGTAGGGAGGGATTTATCTTACACTTTTTCCATGTATACTCAGATGATCATATGGTTTTTGTCCTTGGTTCTATTAATGTGACATATTATCTTAACTGATTTTTGAATTTGGCAATCTTGCATTCTTAGTTGTATAAAAATCTTTCCATATGTTTAATTCAGTTTGCTAGGATTTTGTAGAGGGTTTTAGAATCCACCTTTTTAAGGGATATTAGTCTGTAGATTTCTTGTGATGTCTTGGTAGATTTCTTGTGATGTTTGGTTTTGGTATCAGAGTGAAATGGCTTTATAAAATCATGTAGGAAGTATTACCTGTACTTTGTCTCTTGCCTTGACCACACTTAACTGTTAAACTCCTTTAATTACTGACTGACTGCTCTATTCTTTTCAATACTTTCTTGAAGTATAAATTGTTCCACAGACTAAACCAATCAAATTTGACTCCTTTAAAGGAGCATTTCCCTAGGTTTGTAGTGACTTCAACAAAGATCCTCCTAGCTACTTCTGAGAGTTTTCTGGTTCCTTTGGACAAACTAGGTGGTCTCTAGTTTAGATTCATATGTCATATGATTCTATAAATCTCCTTCTGTTTACTTTTCATCACAACCTCCACAGTTTTTTTGTTGGTGGTGGTTTGTTGTTGTTTTACTAGAAATTGAGCCCAGGGCCTAACATGCTAGTCAATTGCTCTACCATTTTGCTACATCCCCATTCCTTTTTATTTTGAGACAGGTTTACAGTAAGTTACCCAAGCTTGAACTTGCAATTCCTCCTGACTTAGCTTCCTGCGTAGCTGGGATCACAGGCATACACTGACACTTCCATCCCTCCACTGTTTTTGAGAGAATTCCTAGTCATTAACTTTTCTCTGCTTTGCTATAAATAAAGTCAATTCTTTTGAGATTAGGAGTTTTTTTTTTTAATTCGTTTGTTTTACTTCGTTTTGTTTTGTTTTTGTTTGTTTGTTTGTTTTGACTTGCTTCTCCCTTCAGGGAAAATATCTGAGTCAGGGCTCTTGAATTGAGAATAAGACAGGCTTTAAGGCTGAGTGTTTGGTAAAGAGAGAAAGGGCAATAGTCTAAGGTCTTCTTAGGTTTTCTTGGGTTTCCACTAGGACACCAGTGGTGGAGTTTCCATATGGAGTAGGGGCTGGGGAGAAGGGAACTTCTGCCTGTCAGTCTGCTCACCAGGAATTCAGCCTCCACAACTGACAGCTTAGACAAGATAAGGAATGCCTGACTTGGTACCCTCACTGGGTAGACAGCTCTTCTGCTGGGAACGGTGGAGACAGCCAGGTGTTCTTGTTTGTATCAGTCCAGCATGAAGTTTTGGGAGGAGGGACAAAGCACTGGATCTCAGTTTAAATACCATAGATTCTCACTGTTCTTACCAAATGTTAGCAGATTTTTTATGAATAAATGTTTCTTCATTTGTTGTATCTCCTCAAAACCATTTCCAAACTTTAAATGGTTGGGTTTTTAATTTTTTAATATCAGTTTTACTGGTAACCAGGTGTGTAGAGCTCCTGTCATGCATATATTTTTAGGTTAAATTGATACTGTTTTCTTTATAGGGACACATGGAAGGAGAGGTATGGGGTTTGGCTACACATCCTTATCTGCCGATCTGTGCTACTGTAAGTGATGATAAAACCTTAAGAATATGGGATCTCTCTCCTAGTCATTGTATGTTGGCTGTCCGGAAACTGAAAAAGGGTAAGAGGCTCTCAGACTTGAACATAGATTAAGTTATAGCCATTTTCTAACCTTTATAAATATAAAAAAAGCGATAGTTAGGTACATGAAAATTTTTAAAATATTTATTCAGTGTCTACTTACTCATGGTGCGCATAAAGAAAATTAATTATGCCCATTCTTTGCATTATGGAACCTTCTATGATCATACCTAAACCCAGCTAATTTTTCAATGACATGTTAGAAGACAGAATATAGGAAGTAAATGGAAATTAAGTTTTTCTCCCCCTTGCAATTATGGATTATATGTAATTTAGAACTGGAAACTAAGAAAGAAGGCCTTCACTTTAAAAGAGGTAGCAGAGGTAAGGGAAGGCTGTTTGAGGATACAACAAAACTGAGTATATTTGTAAGAGGCAGATGAAACTGGTAGTATATAGAGAGAAATGGTTCAGTTGTTGGTAAAAAAGTTGTTATTAACCTAGGGCAGATGGAGATTTACAGAGAGCTCTGAAATTCTTTTGAGTGGTAGAGAATGTTATCTTCTAGAATGGAGATAACCATAGGAGGACTTTCCCTGGAAATGTTGGGAACAAGTTACTGTAAGAAATGTGATAGAGCCAATAGATGAAGGAAAGGATTGTCTAGCCATAGTAAAGGCCAGATTGGAGTTAGGTAGCATGAATTTATAATTCATTCTGTTAATTTCTTTTTACTTCCTTCTATTGACTTGAAACTTAGTGTTTATTCTCTTCTTTTAGAGTTATTATTAAATATTTAACAAGTACACTCAGTTCAAAAACTGAATATCACAATCTATAGAATAGTCTAGTTCTGGTCACTTTACTCCCCCATTTTTTAATTACTGATGTCCAGCAGTTTCATTCTCTGTTGGTTTTTTTCCTCCTACAACTACCTTCAGTTGGCATTATTATTCTTTTATGCAGTCGTTATTTATTTAGATTTATTTATACCTATACTTTCTTTGTTCATCTTTTCTTCTTGCATCTCAGACTTGTTACTTTATAGTTTTCTTCCTCCTAAAATATATCCTTAGAGTTTCTCTAATGAAGGTTTGTTAAAAATTCCCTCAGTTTCCTTGATCTGAACCAGAGACATACTAAGGGCAGGCTGCTGGGAATGGTCCAAAACACAGTGATGGTTATTCACATTTATTATTGTTGTGTTTAACTTCTCAATTGGCTATGTATTGCACATGGAGTGAATTTTTATCCTCATCCTGCCCATGGTATACCACTAGTCTGAACATATCTTGATATTTTACTCTCATTCTTAAATACTAATAGAACTTCTTCTGACTTTTTTGGTTGAAAGCATTCTGCTTTCTGCCACTTTCTTTAATTGTTATATAGGTATAGTTAAATAACATTGTGCATGTATATGGGTTTACTTTTATTTATTCAGCTTAAGATTTGTTGTGTTTTCTGAATCTGGATTTATGTATTATATCAATGCTAAAATAAAATTGTCTGCTAGTATTAGTGCCTTCTTCTATGACTAGATCTCTGAATTAAGTTGAAGGCAAAATTCATGATTCTGTATTCTTTCTGAAAGAATCAGTAAGCAAATACTCTTTTCTTTAGCAAATGTATATACAAGTATCATAGTTGTGAGCGTTAACATTTTATAAAAATAAGTCATTATGGTTAAAATAGACTGTTCTTAGGAAAATTTCTGGCAAACAAGTTTATGGAAGCCAGTTAAAATAAGCAAAAGTGTAAATGTGCATGATTTAATGTTTATAATGCCTGTGAAGAAAAATATTTGCCAGACTTTTGTAACTTTAGTGTATAATTACACATTGGATAGTTCCCATTAAAAACTTGTATCCTAGCTGTGTGCAGTGGTGCATGCCTATAATCCCAGCATCTCAGGAGACTGAGGCAGGAGGATTGAAAGTTCAAAACCAGCCTCAACAAAAGTGAGGCACTAAGTCTGGGGTTGTGGCTCAGTGGTAGAGTGCTTGCCTAGCATGTGCAAGGCCCTGGAATCGATCCTCAGCACCACATAAAAATAAGTAATAAAACAAAGGTATTGTGTCTAAGTACAACTAAAAAAAAAATATTTAAGAAAAAAGTCAAGGAGATCCACCCACACTGGCCCATGTGGGATCCAGGCTCTCAGTAGGCCTGGTTCACCCATCCCCTGGCGGGGCAGATACCACCAGAGCCTAGCCTTTGGCCCCTTGCCCCTTCCAGCCAGCAGACTACCAGGGGAGGTCAAGCCCAGCAGCCAAGATCCACCCACTCCAACTTACACAGGACCCAGACACAGGATGCAGTAGCATTCATTGAGGGACACAAGCAGGGTCTGGAAGCCCAACATCAAGGTGAGATACAGACAATCTGCACAGGTACTACAAGAATATAGGGAAGAGACTGTAATATTTCATATCCACACTACAAGAAAGGAAGACACATAGACAACATGAAAAAACAAGGGAGGAAAGTGCCCCAAACAAATTAGGACACTATAATAACAGAACCTATGGACAGCAGCGAAGTTGATGAAATGTCAGAGAAGGAGTTCAGAAGGTTCATAATTAAAATGATCAGTGAATTAAAGAATGACCTAAACGAGCAAATATAGGCAAAAATTGATCACTCCAACAATGAGATAAGAGAGCAAATACAGGTAGCAAAAGATTACTTCAAGAGAGAGATAGAGACCCTGGGAAAAAAGTCAGAAATCCTTGAAATGAAGGATACAATAAATCAAATTTTAAAAACTCAATAGAAAGCATAACCAACAGACTAGATCACTTGGAAGAAAGAACATCAGATAATGAACACAAAGGGGCATATATATGTATAATTGTTAAAGTCTTGTTGGTGCATGGTTCCCTTGAGCAGTATGTAGTGTCCTTCTTTATCCTTTTTGATTGACTTTACTTTGAAGTCAACCTGGAAAATAAAGTTGATCACACAGTGAAGAAAGTTAGAAACCATGAACAGAACATCCAAGAATTATGGGACAGTATCAAAAGACCAAATCTAAGAGTCACTGGGACAGAGGAAGGGGACAGAGTTTCAAACCAAAGGAATGCACAATCTCTTCAATGAGATAATATCAGAAAATTTCCCAAGCATGAAGAACGAATTGGAAAACCAAATACAAGAGGCTTATAGCACACCAAATGTATAAAATTACAATAGATCTACACCAAGGCACATTATAATGAAAATGTCTAGCATACAGAATAAGGATAGAATCTTAAAAACCACAAGAGAGAAGAATCAGATCACATATAGGAGGAGACCAATTTGTGTCTCAGCAGATTTTTCAACCCAGACTCTCAAAGCCAGGAAATCTTGGAACAACATATACTAAGCTCTGAAAGAAAATGGATGCTAACCAAGAATCTTATAACCAGCAAAACTAAGCTTTAGATTTGATGATGAAATAAAAAACCTTCCATAATAAATAAAAGTTAAAAGAATTTACAGCAAGAAAGCCTGCACTACAGAACATCCTCAGCAAAATATTTCAAGAAGAGGAAATGAAAAACAATGATGAAAATCAGCAGAGGGAGAGATTATACTATAGGAATATCTAATCAGAGGAGAAACCAAGTCATGTTAAATACCAAAAATAAACAAAAATGGCTGGGAATACAAATCATGTCTCAATAATAACCCTGAATGTTAATGGCCTAAACTCACCAATCAAGACATAGACTAGCAGATTGAACAACAACAACAACAAAAGACCCAACAATATGTTACCTCCAAGAGACTCGTCTCATAGAAACAGACATTCACAGACTGAAGGTGAAGGGTTGGGAAAAACCATACCATTTATATGGACTGTGGAAGCAAGCAGGGATGTCCACCCTCAAATCAAATAAAGTAGACTTCAAAGTAAAGTCAATCAAAAAGGATAAAGAAGGACACTACACACTGCTCAAGGAAACCATACATCAACAAGGCTTAACAATTATAAATATATATGCCCCAAACAATGGAGCAACTATGTTCATCAAACAAACTCTTTTCAAGTTCAAGAGTCAAATAGACCACAACCCAATAATTTTGAGTGACTTTCACATACCTCTTTCATTACTAGATAGATCTTCCGAACAAAAGCTGAACAAAGAAACTATAGAACTCAATAATACAATCAGTAATTTAGACTTAACTGACATATATAGAATATTTCCAAGAAGGAAGATGGCGGCGAGGGGAGTGCATTGCCCCCGTGTGCTGCTTCACTGTGTGGGAGTATGACAAGTCAGGACGGCTAAAGGATATCTTGTTAGGAATTTCCAGCAATAGTGGGGTGCTCCGGAACCTGGAGGAAGGATTTCTATCGCACGAGGATCGGCTACGGGGACTCAAACGCGAGAGGTTTGTCGCACGGAGGGTAACACTGCTTATTCAGCAAATCGCCCCGCGGCTAGAGTCTGCAGCGCGCGCTGGGAAACGAGGAGATAGCGACACAGGGATACAGCGCTGCAGTTTCTGCCAGCCGTGCAAGCACCGTACTCAGGGCTGAATTCTGGGTTCGAGACGGGGGAAGGAAGCGGTCCATCTCGGTTCTCCACACCGGTCAGACCACAGAGGAGGCCAGCAGCCACCATGTTGGAAAGCTGACGTCACCATACCTGTTTTTGACTGACCGCAGCTCATTCAGCCATAGAACAGGTAATTTCAGGCTGCCATTCGCCTGCGGCTTGCAGACAGATTGCTAGGGTTCAGTGCCTGGGTGCTTCTTAGAACCTGATCTTATCAGAGCGAACACCGAGCGCGGGGCGGCCGAGTTCCGGCTCCCGGAACCGTCCCGGAACCGCCCTGGCCCAGGGCTGCGGAGCCTGCAGAGGCTGCTTCTTGGACCCTGCTCCTATCAGAGCATACACCAAGCACTAAGCGGCTGAATTCCGGCTCCCGGAACTGAGCCCGCAGGGACTGCTTCTTGGAGCCTACACTTATAGGAGCTTACACCGAGCACGGAGCGGCCGAGTTCCGGCTCCCGGAACTTCCCTGGCCCAGGGCTAGGAGCCC